AAAAAAAAATATTTCTCCACAAACAGTTACCAAAAAAAAAAGTCTATTATCCATCTAGCTATAAATCTAGCCTTAAAACACCGAGTATTTCTTCAGGGTCTACTTCAATTTCTAGTGTTTGGATCACTTTCTTTTCCTAGGAAAGCTTGAAATAAGATGAACCCGCCGATCAAAAAAAAAAGAAATAAGATGAACCCAATTTTGCTTCTTGATTGAAGTTTCGTGTTGCCATTAGGAACTTTTCTCTGTTTTTTATTTTGTCTTCACCCAATTTCTAAGGTTGTGTCAAAAGGTGTATATCCTGTTTCATTCTCTTTTATAGTGGGTAACTAAGATGGAGGAATATACCCAGTTGCTGAATCTGATGACCCAGAAAAAAGAAGAGGACAGAAAATTGGAGCTGAGGCTTGGTCCTCCAGGAGAAGTAGTACTGCTTGGATGCAAAAATGGAGCAAAAAGAGCTTTTCAACACACAGTTGAAGCAAAAAATGGAGAAAATCCATCTCCTACTGCCTCTGGGAGAGACACTCAGAAGGACAAACAACATTTCAACCCCTTAATCCCCAAGCAGTTTTCTTCCATGGCAGAGGAATCTTCTATGGCAGAGGAATCTTCTCAACATACAGATAAAAAGGCAAATACTTCCAATGAAAGGTTATCATGGTTTTCCTTCCATTTTCCCACCATATAAGAAGAAAATGTTCATTAATCTTAAAATTTGTATCAACAGAAACAAGGGTTTTATCTTAATTCAGTCTGGACTCATGTCACTGACATGTTTTCTTCTCATTCATTTAACTACTGCCTGAAAATGAACAGATCAATGGCATGTCCTCCGGTGGTGGGGTGGCCGCCAATAAGGTCATCCAGGAAGAATCTAACCGGCAGCAGCCTGTCATCAAAACTGGCATCAGAATCTCCCAAGGAAGAAAGTGTGAGAAAACTTGAGAAAAACCAGTTTGTAAAGATCAACATGGAAGGAATCCCAATTGGAAGGAAAGTAAACCTTAATGCCTACAACAGCTATGAGGAACTCTCCATTGCCATAGACCGACTCTTCAGTGGTCTTCTTGCAGGTTTTGTCCACAAAATTTGATAAATGTTAAGTTAAATTTTCCATTGTTCCATACTAGGTTGTCTTATATTAAATTTTGTCTTTTAGTTCAAAGAAATTCTTCTTCCACTTGTAACGGGAGCAAGATAGAGGAATCATCAAAAACTAGTGAAGAATCATTAGCTGGAAGTGAGGAATATACTCTGGTATATGAAGATGAAGAAGGAGACACGATTCTTGTTGGAGATGTTCCATGGGAGTAAGCATTTTCCTGCCCCTCTTCATTCTATATTAAATTCCGTGGAATTAATTCACTGTCTTGATTCATGAAAAGAAATGACTTCCTCAAAGCTATAACTAACACATGCCACTATAAATCTTAGGAAGTTATTTTCCGCTAACCAAACATGCATGAAACTCTATTTTGCCATGGAAATTGATTCTAATGAAAAATATTTTGTATGGCAGAATGTTTGTTTCAAGTGCAACGAGGCTGCTTGTGTTGAAAAGCTCTGAACTTTCATGAAAAAAGAGTAGTTATGAAAGGGAAAAGTGCCTAATTTTTGCTTAGTTGGGTTGTAGAAATGAATTTAAAATTTGTCTGGTTTCATTTGGGAGATGTGAGGAAGACAGTACACCGCTTGATTCTGCTGTGAAGTTGGACAAATTTTCTCATCTTCTTCTTCAAGTGCAGAAATTTTTATTTTCCCTGTCTGTTAATATTTCATTTACTTTTCCCATGAAAAGTTAGAAATCTCTTCAAAATCTTTAGACTTTGTGTTTGTATAATAATTTTGTGAAGGTTTGAAAGTGGCATGTGTTTCTTTCCCTTCTGGATAATGTTAAAATCTCATTTCAAGTTTAAGATTCAAGTTATGATATTGTAAACAACTAGTATACTCTCAACCGCATGTGAAGGTCCATTGTTTATCAACATCCCACAACCACAATTAGGCCTCCTTTCCTCAGGCCTTACCATCACCAATGTATGTAGCTTTGAAATTTGTGATTCAGGCTCAGTTACACTACTTGCAATGATGTTATCCTGTAAAGAAGGGTGTATAAAGATGAAAATTTTAAATGTCTAATTAAATTATTTTGGACTTAAATTTATTACAAAATAATGTTTAAAGTCTTCCTTCCTGCTACACTAACTGACAGAGTACATATATATTTTTGAACTCGCAAACAAGAGAAGATGCTGCTACCATTTGCTCCTAAACAATCAGGCAGACTTGGTCTTGAAGAAGTTATATAGGGCCTCATCGGTTTGATAATAAACAATGTCTCCAGTGTCACTCACAAAATGATCTTCGCCAAGGCTTGTCAGCAGAATCTTGAGTAAATGAAAAGGAATAGGCCCTGATTTTTTTGGCTCCCGGTAGTACCTTCCAAGTACTGCTTTAGCTGCCTCAGTCTGCAATTGAGTATGAACTATCAGTTTATTATAGCTTTATAACTTAACCCCAAAATAAATCTATATTTTATTCTGTTTCATGAAATCTATAGCATACCGCTTCAACTAGGTGATAGTGCGGGATTTGAGGGAAAAGATGGTGTATGACATGAGTGCCAATGTCATGGTGGATGTTATTGAACAGGCCATAATCACGGTCTACTGTCGTAAGCCCTCCTCGCAGGTAGTTCCATTCCTGTCATTAGAGCAACAATGCCTTGTGAGTTTATAAAATCTGATTCAAATGCCAAAATTAGATATGAATTGTTTGAAATGTGGTAGCATACAGTTAAAGTTTATATCATGCATCTAGGTAGGTTAATTACCTCGGCCCTGTACCAGGGAAGCTTCTGCTCATAGCCATGATGATGCAAGTAAGTGACACCATCCAACCATGCTACGAAAATCTGAAATTCAAGGCCTGGAAGTTCATTAACATCATAGAAGCAATATTGATGTGGTTCTACAAAGTTGCATGGTAAAAGAGACAGTTTTACTGACCAAATGAGGAACACCATAGAGCTTAAGCATCTGGATTGGGCTTATCAGGAAGCACAAATATCCAAGCAGAAAAGTAACCAGTACCCAACAGGCAGTTGAGATCATCACAAGCTTCCTTTCTTTGGGGGAGAACAAGTCACTGTAAGGATTGAAGTGTGATCCTTCCTTTCCTGGACTTCTATACCACTAGCGCAATGAAAGAGACAAATTTAGCTTCATATAATATGGGGGAGCATAATGATATGAATCTTTAATCGACATGAAAGTCCAACAAAAACGACAATCTTACAAGATATAGAGGGTATGCTAACAAGGGGAAGGGCAAAGTGAATCTCAAAATTCGAGTTTTGATTTCCAAACTCCGGTAGATCTTCTCAGGCAGCTGAAAGCAAAGTGAAAAGAAAAGAAGAATTCAGATTTGAATTTGGAGCATTGGTACATTTGACAGAAGCAAGCATATAGATAATCATTTACCGGGACCCATGACTCATCTTTTTCAACATGTCCGTGGTTTTGATGGTGAGTCTTGTGACTTATCCTCCTGAAAGATTTCAGTAATGTTATTTCACCTGACTAGAAGAAATTAAAGGATAAATGAAGATAGAATTATAACTCACCATCCATGATAAGGAACAAGAATTGATGAGTGTAAGATATGTCCCACTATAGTATTCAAGGTGCCATTATCGGAAAAACTTCCATGACCGCTGTAACATCAAGAATCCAAACACATTTACTTCAGCACAGATAACAGAAGATAATGAATCAGTGAAAATTTAAGACAATGGAGTGGTAGTATAGATGTAATTACCAGTCATGTCCGAGAACAAACAGGGCCCAGAACATTGTACCCTGGGCAACCCAATAGAAAGGCCAAATATACCAATTATCAAAGTATAGTACAGCTCCTACCAATGTAAAAATAACAAGGACGTCCCTGAATACATAACTCATGGACCTCCATGGATTTTTGATCAAGCAGTGCTTAGGAATGGCAGCTCGAATATCTCCTATCCTAAACGGTGGGGGTGCACTTGGGTCAAAATCTTCTTGACCGTGGATCCCATGAATCTGCTCTCCCTCTCTCTTCATTACTTGAGGTGATGACTGCTTTATTGTTTGTTCTCACTCTTTGCCTGCAACAGAAGCTAAGGAGTTCAGGGGAATCAAAATACAAAAAAGCACATCCATAGATGTAAATAAATATATAAATCAACAAAGTGAATGTTACCATCTATTTTCAAAAAAAAAAACAAAGTGAATGTTGGAGTTGTGGTGTCAAAGCTGCCTCAAATGGCAGCAAATGAAAATGAAAGCTGCACAAAATGGCAGCAAATGAAAAGAAGGGAGAGCTGCACCAACAGCACGGTAGCATCACAATGCAACTGCAGCAAGCAAAGCTGAAAATTTGATGATGAAATGAGGCTGTAATGAACAGAAAATGAAATGCAAATGCAAATGCAAATGCAAATGAAGGCTGCAAGGTAGCAGGAAAGTACAGCAGCATGGAGCCACACAGATGGCAGGAAATCTTTTAACGTAATCTTGCATTGAATGTCTGATAGATTTTTTTGTATTAAGCAAATATTAGGTGAAAAAATTACTGCTAATGTATTAAGTGATTTCTTTGTTTTTTTTTCTTCCAAAGACTAATTAGTAACTACATACTCATTCAAAAATTTGTTCAAACTTGATAGTTCTTCCGCATCAAACAAACAGAGCCGAAAATAGTTGAACAAGCCAAACATCGCTTACCGTTGGCATGTATATGTTCCTCTAGAATTCCTTTATGCACGGATGAAATTTGTCATTCTAGCCTAATAATAACATTTTTTTTTAATGAAACAATTACTACAATTTTTTTACTTGATGACACACAACAATTCCCTGCGGGTAGGGGACAGGACTCGAATCCAATGAGCCAAACATGGTGGCATTGCCACTGTGCTTTAGAAGAAACCCAAATAGGAGCTAAAGTAAGAGTACGGTAGGAACATAAAAAAGAAATGCAGGTAAGATGTTAAAAAAAACACAGGTAAGAAAGATTTAGTGATTTTTACCTTAAAGATGCACAAAACTTAAAATTCAAGTAGAACTCCTCTAGTAGTAATTTAGTAGTTGTCTAGAACTAATTTAAGTGAACACTAGTTTTTGTATGATAAAGCTTTGTTCTTTCTATTCTTATTTATACTAATAAGAGTTATAAAGAACATAATAGTTCTAATCCAATTAGAAATAAGAATTATAAAGATCAAATTAATTCTAATGCAATTGAAATTACATAAATTTAAATCTTCAAACTAAACAAGAAAAAGACTTTCCTTTCTTTCTTTTTCCTTCATCTTGCAACCTAATCCATGTTGGATTAGGTGTGCCACCTAGGGCAGTCTTCCCCTAGGTGATGTGTCAAACCCTAATCCAATAAGGACTTGACTATCACTTTTAGACTCTTTTATTTATTTATTTATTTTTTTTTTTTGAACAATGATCATGGGGTGGGTCGAACCCACCCAGGGGAGGAGATGCACTTTTGATTGTGGCAGTTGCCATTAGGTCAGGAAGTCAGGTGCTTAGACTCTTTTATCTTTAATCTTGAACCAATTCAAATTTAAATGACTTAAATTAATTAATTAAAAAAAAAAAAAAAAAAAAAGAGCAACGAAACTTGAATTTTCCATTGGAGCTGATGAGTGCCACTCTTCATTTGTTCTTCGGGGAAGGTTGTACTTACTTCTTGGACGCTAAGAGAGCCTGTCCTCACAGAACCGAAGAAAAAAAGGCTGGGCTTAAAAGAAATAGAAAAGCCTAAATGGGCTCAAATGGGGCCAGCTCAGCCCATATGAAAAATTTCGAGTCCCATAAATTAAAATTCCCGTTTTACGGTGTAACTATATTACCCCGTAAAATAAAGTTTATTTTTTCTTTTTGACTAGTCAGAAATTGAGGAAAAATGAAATAATTATAATATTTTTGCATTGGTAGCTTTAACCCTTAATAAAAAAAATTAAAGGCGTTGGTCCACTGCTATTGCGGTTAAAGCCGCAAGTGCGTAAAATAAAGTTATTTATTTCTCAACATAAATTAAAAATATAGTAAATATATGTATTTTATAGTTATTTTATAAAAAGGTTTAAAAATTAATATATATTTTAATATTATTAATATTTAAATAATTTTAATTGATTAATAAAATTAAAATTAACGTTTATATTTTTAATAAAAATTATTTATACAAAAATATTTATTACGTTCCTAACAAAGTAAAAAAACTTAAATGAGGAGGATTTCGCAGGCCATTTCATCTAATAATTATCGGTTATATAATTTAATATAATTTAAATTGTATTATATTTTTTTAAATTAAAAATGAGAATATTATTTTACACTCGGAACATCAAAATTGAATGGGAAAAGAGTTAGTATTACGCAGTCGGGACTGCACAATACCCTTTTCATAAAAAATATACAATAAATTCTAGGGTTCGCCATCGTTTCCTCTTTCGATTCCAATATCATTCTATTTTCTCTGTCACTCTTCAACAAGATCAAACCTTTCATTCAAACAAGTATAAATCTCTGAGTTTCGCTCAGATCGACGGTGAGGTAAGAATCAATCTTTCACTGTTCCAGCTGAACATTGACCACCTTTTCCTTTCCCTAGTTTTCTGGGTTCTTGCGGGTTCGAAATCATAAGAAACTGATACATGCTTGTACCCTTCATAAGTTTGGTTTTTGTTTTATGTGGGTTTCATGGTTTGTAGCTTGGGATCATTCATACAATTCGTTATCTTGGATTATTATTCTTCCTGTTT